CAGTGATTCTATACTATAATGTAACAATGGTTCTGTAATATAGCACAACCATGGTTCTGTAATATAGCACAACCATGGTTCTGTAATATAGCACAACCATGGTTCTGTAATATAACACAACCATGGTTCTGTAATGTAATACAATCGTGGTTTTGTAATGTAACAAAACCGTGTTTCTGTATTTTCACAGAACTCGTTAGAAAATTAAGATACTGTCTTGTGATCTAATTAATATTATAGTTTCAATATTAGGATGTTATAGTTAACATTACTTAGTTAATTAGATGAATAAATTGCTTTTAATATTTGGAGAGCTTTATCTTATTTTCTCCAAGTTTTCATTTTTATTTTAAAAAAATGTTGAGGAAATCATATTTTTAACTGGGAAATCGTCTGTAGTTTCTTCATTATTTCAAAAGAAAATGAGAAATAAAATACACTGAAAGGAGGAACAACAGATTAGTGGCTTATCCAGAAATCACAACCTCTTTATGGGCTGTCGTGGCAAAAATGAACTAGCAGCTTATACTTTGTGGATGAAGAAACACGTTAAAATAGAGTATGCGTAAACATTGGATTTAGCCCCGTAAGCTATTCTCGCTAATGCTGAAACATGTTGAAGTCAATAGGAAAGTGTGGACTGGACGACGATAATCTGTATTATCGTAAATATGTCGGAACTTATGTTTGCTTCGAATATTCGCGCAAAAGCTACACAAGGGCTATTTGTGCTACCAGCCCTAATTTTGAATTAATATACAGACCAGGGAAACTCTTTTTGACCGTCACTCTTATAACGCACAAACAGTCCTAAACGATTTTACGGCTACAGGACGCGAACCAACCACTGGTCTTCAAGAAATATTAAATAAAAATACTTTAGCATTTTAGAAATATCCTGTTTGTGAAGATGAAGAAATGGATAGCTAAATAACTTTCGAAATTCTTTCTGGGCTAGTCTGGTCGAGTTTTTACGTTCTTCATAATTTTGTTTTATTCTCTTTTTTTTCTGGTAAAGTGTATAAAACGTTTTCAGACTGAATTCCTTTTTTTTTCCAGATCGGTTTTATTTGCGAACAAAACACAGATTTTATAAAAGAAGTGAAAAGCACTCGAGCTTAAAATTGGGTCGACTATTATAGATTTCAATATAACCTTGAGAAGTCCGTTTCAATTAAAGCTACCAAAAACCGTTTATAGTGTTTTTATTGTCTTACATTATTCTTATTTCTTACGGCGTGGGGTCTGAATTCTCCCAGCAAGATATTGTTTTACTGATGTGTTTATGTTAGCATTAAAGCCAATAATATTTTATCAGATATAATTTTATTGTCATGATGAAAAATATATTCACACGTACAGGATTCTACTGATAACAGTGTCATTTTATGGAAAGATATCTTAGATAAAGCTCCATTGGGTAGCATCAACACAGATTTGTTGATATCGCTCGACGATGTCGTTACGGTTGGTTTTTAAATTATTTCGCTGCCTAATATGAACATAAAAACTTCTCCAACAGGTTATTATTTGTCCGTTTATTTTCGGTTATTCACGTAAAGCTTCTTAAAGACTATCTGCGCTAATGATAAGCTAGAGGGAAGGGAGCTAGTCAACAGCACACGTCACCAACTCTAGGACTACTCTTGTCTGACAGTATACTAAGATTTGGCTATCGCCATTATAACGCACCCACACCACAAAGTGTGGAATCGCGATGGTTTCTTCTTTCCTTCGTGTTAACGGAACGCACATGATGGATCTGTAGATCCCCCAAAATGTAATGAACAGGTCGTTTTATTTTTTAAGCATTTTTTAATCTACTGAACAACAAAACTGAACTTAAAGTTTCTATAAGGAGGATTATTTATATATTAGATTCAGTTCCATTGAGAATCTTCTCCGTGACTCACTGGTAAGGTTGATAATTTATAACGCTAAACTTTGGGGCTCGATCCATTCGGTAAGCGCAGCACAAACAATCTGTTGTACAAATTTACTCTTAACAACAAACAAACCATTGAGAATCTATTGTAAGTTATAACACGAAAATTTTTAAATTTAAAGTGGTCACGATATGGATTGATTTCAACAAGTTATCTGAAGATGAATAGACATACTCAGTAATAAATATGTCCCCCCACCCCTTCCACCAGAC